GATCCTCCGGAAAAGGGCTTTATTCCGGAGGATCGCGCCAGTCTAGATGCTTGGGGAAAAGCCGGAAAAAAAGCGGCGGACATGTTTATTTAAATCCGCGGGAGATTTAAATATCCCCCGCGGATTTCCCTATGCTGACTTACCTGATTTGCATCCCTTTTCCGGAATTTGTGGCCAGTCTAAACGTAGGCAAGCAGTTTGGGAAGGCACATTTGGAAACAGCTCTTTTTATTCTGTAATGATGATGGTTCACTAATAACCTAACTATTTATTATGTTGTTCCTCAGGCAACGCAGATCGAAGGCACTGCAAATTCAGACCAGATCCTAGTATCCCTCTAATGTTTAGTGCTGTCAATGAAGACTACATTGGGAGCGGGTGGTCGCGAGGACATATGGCACCTGCAGGAGATAACAAATTTTCAGTAGTAAGAATCTTTCTTAACTACTGCCTGTCACAGGGAGGGTGATCTGAAATGTATTTCTCCTGAGTTTTCTTGGGATGAAGTCTGGCCTACTTGTTGAGGGACAGGACATGGAATCAGGAGTTCTGGGGTTCACTATGCTGTAGGCTTGCTGTGTGAAACTGAGCAACTCCACAGCTTTCTGTGCCCCAGTTTCCCTACCTGCAGCATGGAGATTATTTACATATCTCACCTTAAATGTCTCTCCTGATGCTGAGTTAATAAGCAAGTGGAGAAAAACAGCCAACAGGTACTGAGATATTTAAAACTCAATGGACAAAGCACTAGCAAACATACTGTGAAGGGCAGTCCTGCTCTGGCCGGGGAATGGATTAGACTGTTTCAAGGTCCGTTCCCTTTCTAATTCTCCATATGAAGGGAATTAAGAGATTGCCTTAGCTTTTGCCTTAGGTATGCTCTTAAAGCCTACAAAGTGTCTTTACTTACCTGATCTATGAAGTTGTAAGATAAGGGTGCAGGTTTTACCTTCCTGGTCCGGCACCCTCGAGACCTGACTGGTCCCGAACCAGGGAATCTGCTGCAGAGCTCTGTTCTGGTGGCAGCATTGACCAAGCGGGGATGGGATAGGAAGGCACTTGGGGGAAGAGGGAGGGCATCTGAGGAATGCTGCAGCTGGGGGCTGGGAGCACAGCTAGGTGGCCGCTGGGCTGCGCTCCTGGCTCCCGCCACCTGCCACAGCCCCCGTTTGGCAGACTGCATTCCCGGCCCCTGTGGGGCTGCACTCTTGGCTTCTGCTGCCAGCCGTGGGGCTGCAGTCCTGGCCTCCATCCTCAGGGCTCCTCAGACACCCTGACTCTTCCCTGAATGCTCCCCAGCCCCCGCTTCTCCTCCTCCCTCCCTGAGCTTGAGTGCAGTGGCGACACTAGGAAATTATTTTGAAATAACGAAATTCAAAATAATAACTGCCAAAACAAAATCGAAATAGTGTATCCCCACTCTGGGGAGCCTCAAAATTAGTCCGAGGCAGGCTCCATTATTGTGGACACGCTACCTTGATTTAGAGCCCCAGGAAGCATTGGGGAGTAATGACTCTGAATGACTCTGGGGAGTAGTTATTTCAAAGTAGCAGCAGCGTGTCCACAGTAATGCTATTTTGAAATAACTAATTTGAAATAAACATTCTTCCCCAAGGAAAGCAGAAGGGCAGATTTCAAAATAACCAGCCTGTTATTTTGAAATAACAGGCTTGGTAGTGTGGACACTCAATTTATTATTTCAAAATAACTCCCTAGGGTGGACCAGGGCAAAATGAGCTTCTTGCAGTGCTCTGGAAGCTCTGGAAGGGTGGGGGAGGAGTTGCTGAGCATGAGGCTTGCCCAGGAGCACCCGTGGGGATGCTGGATGACAGAAGCCCCAACTATAGAGGTTGAACCTTTATCAAAATATCGGTCTCTTAATTCATTGGGCTGAGAGACAAAACAGCCTTGATTCTATCTGGTCTTGGTTTGTTTTTTCCCATAATGTAGATTATTTGCTATTTAAGAAGCAGCGAGAAAGTGCATTTCTGTCCTGAAATGTAATATGTGGTGGAGCAGAATGATGGCAGCACTGTATTTAGTGGATTAAAGTACTAGCCCTTTTACTACAGCGAAAGTAAGTCACTGATGGATTTTGTCAGTCTTATTCCAGCATGTTTAGCAATGAGGTCCAGGACTAAAATAGAGTTAGACATGCTAACTGGAATATTTCATAGCTTTCACCAACACAAACTATACTAAGCATTGTTCTAAATAATGCTGCTAGATCCTTAACTTCTATGAATAAGGAGAATCTGAAAAGGCACTTCTAATAAAATAAAGATATAAGATTCAGGATAAAAGCCTGAGATTTTCCTTTTATATTTTTTCACATACTTATAAATGCATAGAACCAGAAGAAGGTAAGGTTGCTTCTTGTTTGGAATTACTTGAGCCACAATCCTGAAATATTTATGCTCCTTCTTTACTCACAATTTGTAAAGTTAAACAGGGGCATAATCCTGTGCTGAATCAGGATCTTGATGACCATTTCACCATCTGCACTCTTTATATTTTTCAAATTGTAAAAAATTAGTAATGTAAAATATTTTTAGCCAAGTAAGGGCAAAAATATATTGAACCATTCTGGGAAATAAGAATCATAAGTGTAAATTTCTCTTCTCTCTGGAAAAGGCAGCCAGCTTTGGCCAAATTAATTACAAACTTATGCCCCTTTAACATTAATTCCTTACTGTCCCTTCTCTCTGGAAAAGGCAGCCAGCTATGCCCAAATTAATTATAAACTTATGCCCCTTTAACATTAATTCCTTACTGTCATTCAAACTCAAAACTCCAGTCATCTGAAGAAGTGGGCTGTGCCCCAAAAGCTCATGATACCATCTATATGTTTTGTTAATCTATAAAGTGCTACGAGACCATTTGTTGTCATTCATTGTTATGCTTCAATGTTATTTTATATGTCTGCTGGCTCCAAATATGGATAACATGTGAATATTTCTATAGGACTACAGCTGGGCCTGTTTTAGGGGTGTTAAGGACTAGTCGACTATCTGATGAACAAATGCTTATCAGATAGTCTGTTAACTAGTCGATCCCCTCCCCCCCCCCCCCCCCCCCCCCCAATTACCACTAGGGGGCACTTCAAAGGGGCAGCACTGCACAGCTGAGCTAGGGATCAGCTGTGTAGCTGCCCTTTTGAAATACCTAGGCGGTGTTCAAATGGGCAGGTTCAGCTTCCCACTGGCCCCGGGGTGCACGCAATGTTCCGTGTTCCTCCTTTGAAATGTACAAGAGCCTCAGCGGAGGAAATTCCATTGACTACTCAACTAGTAAATTAACCGTTACTTAAAATCCTTAACCTGTTTTCCCTTTCTACTTCTTCCCCAGAACTTCACTAGTGCTCTGATCTAGGATTTTGATTTTGCCTCTTATGTAAATAATGTCCAGTTATGAAAATTGGCTGTAGATACGGGTTCTAATTCCTAGCCCTCCTAAAGTTTGGCTTTATTTTCAGCCCATCTCAATTGCATTTCAATAACCTGGCACCATTTTCTTTCTTTCTTTCTATAGCGAGCTATGGCTGAAACATTTTACCTGTCCAATATTGTGCCCCAGAATTATAAGAATAATGCTGGATTCTGGAACAGGTGAGATGTTACTTTTGCATGGACCAAGTGTAAGATGAAGACTAAGGGGTAAAACACTAATAGTATCATATTCATACATCTCAAAGGATACAAAAGCACTTTGCAAAAATATTTCATACTATATCCTACAACCTCCTCTATGAAGAAATGCATTGCCAAGAACAATGTGCATTCATTTTGGTGCATTATCCAATAGAAATTATAGAAGGGATTTAGTTAGGTGAATATAATTACTTATCCTAGGGTTTAACTTCAGGAGCCAATTATTGAGAGTCAAGCCAGTTTGGAACACCAAAAGTTCAGAATTGAGAGACAAACTGGAGGGCAGGGATCAAGAGTCAGGTGAAATTAGGATGGCAGGTCAGCCTCAAGCAGTTGAACCAGAAAGCCATTACCAAGAGCCAATATCCCAAGAGGTCAGGATCAGAAGACAGGAAAGGGTAAACACCAGCCAGACCAGTGGTCCATGGCGGGATGAAACTCAGTTTTATGGACAAAAGTCTGTTTCTTCTTCTAGCTTAAATAGGCACTGTTGCCCAGTCAAGAGCCATGTAGCTGTCCCAATCAGACAGCAGAATTGGGGGTTGTGACCTTGTTGGGCTTCATCAACCATGGTCCCAGCTGCAGTTTATTAGCTTCCAGGTAGAGGATTGAAGTGTGATGACTCCCAGGACCTCCATGGACTTTGGTTGAGAAGTCCAGGGCTGGACATCAGCCTCTGCCCAAAGGCACCTTCCAGGTACTACGAGTCTAGGTTTCTTGGGATAGTTCTCATGGAAGGCTTATATTAGGGCAGGAGTGTGAATGTTTTCTGCCAGCTTCTATGTACATTCCTCAGGGTTATAGCCTTCCCCATCAATCACTCATAAAAGTGTATCCTGCTGACTTTTAGAGTCCAAGAGCATATGCACACCATATTCCTCCTGTCCTTGTATATACATTGGCAGTTGAGGTGGTTGGATCCTGTGAGGAAACAAATTCTCTGTGTAGGATTTTAGGAAGTTATTGGAATACTGGTTGGAACTTGAGAGATCGGGGTAGATGCAGCTTAATGATGACTGGGTTGAGTTGTCAACGGATTTGATAAGGGCTGAGGAACATGAAGTCCAGCTTACACGAGAATCTGTGCAAAGGTGCTCCAATGAAAGCCATTTTTTCTTCCACTGGATAGGTGGCATGGTCGATAATGCTGGTTTGCATGTCACTTGATCATTACGCAAAAATATAAGAACAGCCATACTGGGTCAGACCAAAGGTCCATCTAGCCCAGTATTCTGTTTTCTGACAGTTGCCAATGCCAGAGGTTTCCGAGGGAATGAACAGAACAAGTAATCTTAAGTGATCCATAGGTAGTCACCAGTAGTCAGCTTTCAATTTTTCCAGGTGACCCCTTACTTCTTGCTGAGTTCTCTGCACTAAGTCTGAGGTGGTCAGGTTAGGAGAGGTCATATGTAGCTATGGTTGGAATTGGAGTTGGCCCTATAGCTGGCAAAGAAGGGGCTTTTCTTTGTGAAAGCATGATCTGTGTTATCTTATCCAAGCACCACTTAGAGTTAACAGCAAAGATCAGTCTTCTTTTTATAACATTGTAGGTATTGCTCTGCTATCTGAGTAACACTTTCCATCTGGCCATTGTATTCAGGGTAGTAGGCGGAAGAAAGGTGCAGCTAGACTGTCACAAAACAGAGGGCCTCTTGCCAGAATTGGGCTTTAAATTGCAACCTTCATTTGGAGGTGAAGCGTTTCATTAGTCTATGGAAATGAGTTACACAGCTAATCCACAGCTGAGCTGTGTCTTCAGCAGAATGGAGCTGAGCGTAGGGCATGAAGTGGGCCATTTTGGTGAAGAAGTCTACCGCCGTCAAGATAGTTGACTCTTGACAGCCCCACAATACAATACAATTCAGTAGCTGCCAATGGTTGGGGTGGAGTGTCTGGAGATTGGAGTACACCTCAGAGTTTATGCTGTGTCATCTTGCTTGATCACATGCATGTTGCAGGATCCTCGGAAGCCTGTGTCATGGAGCACATTGAGGGCTACCAGAAAAGATGACATGGCAATTGTAGAGTCTTAAAGCAACCCAGTTGTGCTGCTGAGGGAAGGGGGCAGCTAGTGGTCATGGTACAGCTTATGAAGCCACCACTCTTGTCTGCCCCAGGGGAATGTAAACATGGTTATCCACAAACATGCCACCCTTCCAAATGTTGTGTGGCTCCCTGTCATTGGTGGTTTGCGAGGCAGAACTTTCAAAGAAGAGGCAGAACAAATCAGTACGAGTAGGTCCTTAAGAAGGAGTAGCAGGACGTAAGGATGTGGTCTGATTCCTGGCTAGGTCCATACGGCTCAGTGTCAAAGCTCCAAGATAAGGATCAGCCTTGCTGTTTCTGATTCAGGGGCTAAATGGAATAGGGATATGAAGGACTAGTCTCTTAGGGTATGTCTACACTACAAAGTTAGTTCGAACTAACTTTCATAGGCGCTACACTAGTGCTCCGTTAGTTCAAATTTAATTCGAACTAACGGAGCGCTTAGTTCGAACTAGGAAAACCTCATTTTATGAGGATTAAGCCTAGTTCGAACTAGCTAGTTCGAATTAAGGGGTGTGTAGCCCCTTAATTCGAACTAGTGGGAGGCTAGCCCTCCCCAGCATTCCCTCGTGGCAACTTTGGCCAACACCAGGGAAACGCTTCTGCCTCCCTCCCGGCCCCGGACCCCTTAAAGGGGCACGGGCTGGCTACGGTGCCCCTGCCAGGGGCAAGCCTGCCAGCACCCAGCCAGCAGACCCTGCACCTCGCACGGATCGAGCCAGCCACCCGATGGC